AGACTCAGATCTGCAGTAAAAAGGCGGTATATAAATAAAAACTTACTTACTTACTTACTTACTTACTTACTTAATCCATTTCTGGGTCGGGGGGTGGCAGTCAGAGCTGCACCCAGTCACATAGCACCAGCCCCTCACTGATCCTCCTGCAGGTGTTGAGTCCACAGGAGCTGAGATGTTTCAGTGGGGGCTTCGGGCAAAGTGGGGTTAAGTGTCTTGCCCAAGGACACAACAACAGCAGTCATCAGTGGGAGTCGTGAAGTAGGTCTTAGGGTGGGTTCGAACCCACAAAGGCCATTGCTCTACCAACTGAGCCACTGTGGCCCATAACATAACATAACATACGTAGTACATTAATCAAATGAAAAAGAAGGTGGGCGGTCTCACGCCGGTTGCACACCTTCCTCAGTTTGAGGATTGGACACCAGTGACGCCCTGGGAGAGTGGAGTGGAAACGGGCCTTTTGACGCTTGTCATGAGAAAGCCTGACAGCCACATTGAATCAGCCAAAGAGCCGCATGAGGCACACGAACCACGGGTTGGCCACCCCTGCTCTACACAATTCATTAAAGCTGCACTAACTGACTTTGGGATTTTGAAGCCGCGGACTCTCTGGCCTCGCTCTTTCTCCTCCCCTCCCCGCACCCACGAAGCTATGGCCCCCCACACACACCAACTGTTGTTGACGGAGCTAGCGTCTCCAGATATGGATATGGATTTACATGTGGATGGCGTGACCATAAAACGATAGAACCGGGAAGTGCGGAGGAACGAGACTTTCTTTTGGATGGCTGTCTCGCTGTGTAAGCAGTAACCGGTGACGAAGACAAGGAAGTTTCAGGTTAGCTCCTCGGCTTGTTGTGCTAACTCAGCCGTCTATGCTAACGGAGACCTGTAGATTTCTCACAAATATGGGGGCCAGTGGTCCGCTGTGATTGGTCACAATCTGAGACCCGAAACACATTCTCTTCCTTGTTTCATCCAAACACAATACAATACAATACAATTTATTCTAGTATAGCCCTAGGTCACCACAGAAGTCATCTCAGAGACTTAACAAAACCATTGAAATCACCAACACAGGTCAGAGGTCAACAGTTAAAACACATGAAGAATATAAAGCACACACAGAAGAAAATGTCCATACATGTTGTAGAATGCTAAAGTGTCCTGATCATCACCAATCCTTTCTGTTGGACACTAACTGTCCAACAAGACCCTCCTGCATCCACAAGGAACAACTCTTAAAAAACCCAGTGGGAAAAAGTGAGAAACCTTGGGGAGCACTAGGGAAACCCACAGGGAGGGAGACCCATTTGAGAAAGGGATCCGCTCCTCCGGACGGACAGACTAATGATCCAGGACCTAAGCTAGCTACAGAACGTGGACCAGTGGCCGCTGAACGTGGACAGGTCCGGTGCAGGACTGAAGCACTCCCAGGCGGGTCGGGCGGGGCAGTCCGCAGGTGTAGATGGAGGAGGCCAGGCTCAGAGATCCCGTCATCGTACCATGAAACAGACAATGGGACAACGGGTGAATAGCAATGAACAAACTACAGTCAGAATCCTAAAAATGCTAAACAGATAAAGTAGGAAGGAGGAGAGGATAGTGCTGTTACCATACTTCTCCAGCAGGGGGCTCCCTATGCAGCTTGACTGACACTCTGAGGAGTTTAACCTTCTCCGAGTCTTACCTTCCTAGCCATATGCTAAACTAAAGAGGACTGTTTTAAACCTAGCCTTGAATAAAGAGAGCGTATCTGAAAGGAGGCGAGACAGCAGCAGCCACGGCTAGGCTAGGCTAGGTTACAGCACCAAGATTCATGGATTGCACACCAGGTGTGCAAACCAATCCAGGCAAACCTAATTATATATTATATATCATATACATCATATATACCATATATATCATATATAATACACAACATAACATACAGCATAATATATAACATAATATACAACAAAACAATACAAAACATAATACATATATTGTATAATATATAACATAATATATAACATAATACAGCATATATATATAATATATACACCATATATTATATATGACCTAATTATATGCTAAATTAAAGTAGAGTGCTTTAATCCTGGCCTTGAATGTGGAGACCGTATCTGCTTCCTTAACATAAATGAAGCTGATTCCACAGTAAAGGAGCTTGGAGCTAAATGCTCTGCCGCCAACAGTGACCTTTGAGACCTTAGGAACCACCAGACGTCTGGCGTTTTGTGAGCGCAACGCTCGACTTGGTTGATACGACACTAACGTGTCTTGGAGATAAGAGGGAGCCAAACCATTTATGGCTTTATATGTTAAGAGAAGGATTTTAAACTTTATTCTGTACTCCACAGGAGCCAGTGGAGTGATTTTAACACCGGAGTTATGTGCTCCCTCCTTTTGGTACCTGTTAAGATCCTAGCTGCTGTATTCTGAACGAGCTGGAAGCTCTTCAAAGAGGCTTTAGGACACGCTGCCAGTAAAGCGTTACAGTAGTCGAGCCTTGAGGTAATACTCCATAGTGTTGTCCACCGTTTGGTCAATGACTGAGGGACTGCAGCAGCTGTGAACAGGTTCACCTGCAGCAGTATTCAACATAGGCTGTATTAGTTCTTTGAACCTTGTGATAGATTTATCATTTAAGGTTCTTTTCATTATGGTTTTATCTTGCGGCGCAGGAAAGTCCTCCAAATCGAGATCAAACGTGATCAAGAAATGGTCAGACAGCAACGAGCTTTGACGCTGGATGTCAACATTGGAGACATCACAGCCGTAGGTCAGGACAAGGTCCAAGGTGTGGTTATGAATGTGAGTAGGTTCCTCAACATTCTGAGTAAAACCAACACCATCTAGTACGGCGCTGAAAGCTTTGTTTAAGCTGTCAGTGCTGTCGTCCACCTGTATATTGAAGTCTCCAGTTATAACTATGTTTTCCCCATTCCAAAACTAGGTTTGAAATGAAGTCAGAGAATTCTGTTAGGAACTCGCTGTAAGGACCAGGAGGTCGGTATAAAACTATAAATAGTACTGCTTTTTGTTTTCTCCACCCAGGACAGGTGATTGAAAGTGTTAAGTTTTCAAACGAGTGAACAGCGTTGTTGGTTTTGGGACTAAGAACCAAGTTGGTGTGTGATATAATCGCAACACCACCGCCGCGACCTGTAGCTCTGGCTTTCTGGTAGTTAACATGCGTCGGAGGAGTGCACTCATTCAATCTAATGTAGTCGTCCTGTTGGAGCCAAGTCTCCGAGAGCGCAAACAAATCCAAGCCCTTGTCTATAATAAGTTTGTTTATGAGAAGAGATTTAGACGAGATTGATCTGACGTTCATTAAACCACATTTAACAACCCTACTGTTAGAACTATTTCTGTCTGAACTTTTATTAAGTTACTGTGTCTGACACCCAGGTCAGATTTCCTCATATAGTGCTTTAGACTTCAAGCGAGGAACACACACAGTTTCAATCTGACTAGGTTCTGAGGCTAGTAACTGAGCACACACAGGCACACACACACACGCACACATAGTTTCAATCTGACTAGCTTCTGAGGCTAGTAACTGAGCACACACAGGCACACACACACATGCACACACAGTTTCAATCTGACTAGGTTCTGAGGCTAGTAACTGAGCACACACACACACACACACACACACACACAGTTTCAATCTGACTAGCTTCTGAGGCTAGTAACTGAACAGATGGGGGCTCAGAGGTTGTGGCAGAGCAGCTCTGCACCCGGGCCTCAGTTCTGCACCGTCATTTGAGCCGAGCAGAACAGTTTAGAGCCAGGGCCAAATTCTTAGCCAAAAGGGATGTACCCGCCAACGTTGGGTGGATATCATCCGAGCGGATGAGACCGGGCTGTCCCCAAAAGGCACTCCAATTGTCAACATGAACAACACCACTTGGAGGGCACCAGCCAGACAGCCAGCGGTTGAAAGCCAAGTTGAAAGCCGATTTAAATGACGCGGGGCTTTCAAGTATCTCCGTTCCTCTGCTCGCCGTGACCGCGCTGTGTGTGGACTGAACAACGTACTTTTTTTTCATAAATCAAACCGCGGATCACGTCTGTACCGAACCGAAGACGTTGAACCGAACGGATCACGGATCAGTGATGAACCGTTGCACCTCTACTTACGATAGATTAAAAAACATCAAACACAATTTAAAAAGTATAGAGTAGAATACATGTAAAATAGGTCTGTCTTTAGACGTGATTTGAAAATGTCAGAGATTCTAACTGTCGCAGGTCAAGAGAAGCCTAACTCTTGCCAGACTCTTGTAGTTTGCTGCACTTCTCACATGGGTCTGGGTCTGATCCAAAGCGATGGATTTCAGAAGGTGGGGCCTTGTAAAAATAAATCCTAGTATGTGATTGGAAAAACCACTTGTCCGTTATCTTGAGTGACGTGTTCCTTCAACCATTTACGAAAACAACCCGTGACGCTGATGAGAGCCACGCAAAGAAATCCAAAACAGAACAGGCGACATGATGGATAACGACAGAGAAAAAAAGTTTCTTTTACTGACAGCAGCCGCCATAGGAGTAGCGAGTTAGCGGCTAGGCTAGGCTAAGCTAGTCCGGATCCGGACCCGCACAACAGACTCCGAGACCAGACAAACAACCGCTACCTAAACCTCAGCTACAGTACAGCTGACTCGGAGTGCTTACACAGTTAGCTTGGTGTACAATACGTGGATTTGTAATGTGTTTGTTAGTGCAAACAGAGAGCAGAGTGATAGTAGTCAAGAAACACGCTCACCGGATACAGGAAGTGCCGCTCTTATTCATTTTTTTTCCCCGAGGTACACCTGTACAATCGAACATTTCTGTTGAAGGTTGAGGCTGTTCTAGATCCTCTGATGGACACAGTTCATCTGATGGACACAGCTCTAGTTCCTCTGATGGACACAGTTCTATATCCTCTGATGGACACAGTTGTAGATCCTATGATGGACACAGTTCCTCTGATGGACACAGTTCCTATGATGGACACAGTTCCTCTGATGGACACAGTTCCTCTGATGGACACAGTTCTAGTTCCTCTGATGGACACAGTTCTAGATCCTCTGATGGACACAGTTGTAGATCCTCTGATGGACACAGTTCTAGTTCCTCTGATGGACACAGTTCTAGATCCTCTGATGGACACAGTTCTAGATCCTCTGATGGACACAGTTCTAGTTCCTCTGATGGACACAGTTCTAGTTCCTCTGATGGACACAGATCCTCTGATGGACACAGTTCTAGTTCCTCTGATGGACACAGTTCTAGATCCTCTGATGGACACAGTTCTAGATCCTCTGATGGACACAGATCCTCTGATGGACACAGTTCTAGTTCCTCTGATGGACACAGTTCTAGATCCTCTGATGGACACAGATCCTCTGATGGACACAGTTGTAGATCCTCTGATGGACACAGTTCTAGTTCCTCTGATGGACACAGTTCTAGATCCTCTGATGGACACAGTTCTAGATCATCTGATGGACACAGTTCTAGATCCTCTGATGGACACAGGTCTAGTCCTTCTGATGGACATAGTTCTAGATCCTCTGATGGACACAGATCCTCTGATGGACACAGTTGTAGATCCTCTGATGGACACAGTTCTAGTTCCTCTGATGGACACAGTTGTAGATCCTCTGATGGACACAGTTCTAGATCCTCTGATGGACACAGTTCTAGATCCTCTGATGGGCACAGGTCTAGTCCTTCTGATGGACACAGTTCTAGATCCTCGGATGGACACAGTTCTAGTTCCTCTGATGGACACAGTTCTAGATCCTCTGATGGACACAGTGGTAGATCCTATGATGGACACAGTTCCTCTGATGGACACAGTTCTAGATCCTCTGATGGACACAGTTCTAGATCCTCTGATGGACACAGATCCTCTGATGGACACAGTTCTAGATCCTCTGATGGACACAGGTCTAGTCCTTCTGATGGACACAATTCTAGATCCTCTGATGGACACAGATCCTCTGATGGACACAGTTGTAGATCCTCTGATGGACACAGTTCTAGTTCCTCTGATGGACACAGTTCTAGATCCTCTGATGGACACAGTTCTAGTTCCTCTGATGGACACAGTTGTAGATCCTCTGATGGACACAGTTCTAGTTCCTCTGATGGACACAGTTCTAGATCCTCTGATGGACACAGTTCTAGTTCCTCTGATGGACACAGTTCTAGATCCTCTGATGGACACAGTTCTAGTTCCTCTGATGGACACAGTTCTAGATCCTCTGATGGACACAGTTCTAGTTCCTCTGATGGACACAGTTCTAGTTCCTCTGATGGACACAGTTCTAGTTCCTCTGATGGACACAGTCCTAGATCCTCTGATGGACACATAAAAACGTTCTGCTGATTCAAATCTAACTTTATGTGAATGAACACATGTATTACTGCTCAGAAAGAACATAATCTAAAACCTGCTCTTGCTCAGGATTTCTGCTGCTCTGCTTTGATCTGAGAGAGTGACGCGCTCACAGACTCTCTCCAGAAGGATCCTGTCATTCCGCTGGTTTCCCATGATGCACTGGGGCCAATTACGGCGTCTCAGGTGAGTGATGTCAGCGGCGTGTGACAGGTGGAAGCAGAACGCTGTCGGTGGAGGATCTGCACCAAGGCTCTGAGAGACACAGGCTGCTGGGCCACAACCACACAGCAGGACTAAAGCAGGACTATCAGGGCTAAAGCAGGACTAAAGCAGGACTAAAGCAGGACTATCAGGGCTAAAGCAGGACTAAAGCAGGACTATCAGGACTAAAGCAGGACTAAAGCAGGTCAAAAGCAGGTCTGAAGCAGGACTAAAGTAGGACTAAAGCAAGACTAAAGCAGGTCTATCAGGACTAAAGCAGGACTAAAGCACGTCTAAAGCAGGACTAAAGCAGGACTATCAGGACTAAAGCAGGACTAAGGCAGGTCTGAAGCAGGACTAAAGCAGGTCTAAAGTGGGTCTAAAGCAGGACTAAAGCAGGTCTAAAGCAGGATTAAAGCAGGACTAAAACAGGACTAAAGCAGGTCTAAAGCAGGACTAAAGCAGGACTAAAGCTGGTCTAAAGCTGGACTAAAGCAGGACAAAAGCAGGACCAACGCAGGTGTGAAGAATGAATAAAGTAAGTCTAGACCAGGTCTAAAGCAGGTCTAGAGCAGAGGGTAAAGTTGCTTTAAGGCATGTCTAGACCAAGTCCAAACCAGGTCTAAACGAGGTCTAAAGCAGGTCTAAATCAGGTCTACAGCAGGTCTACAGCAGGTCTACAGCAGGTCTAGACCCTGTATGGTGTGCTGTTATTACCACAGTGTAAATACCAGTGTTTGTGAATAATTCAGGTGGGTCCAGAGGGTGCTGCTCCCATGGGTGCCATTAGCCCTGAGTTAAAGGGGTCTCCCGGGGCAGAGCGCAGGGGCAAATAAACATTTATAAAGCACCTTCGATATTGCACATGTCCCCCCGCTCCTTCTGCCTGTTCTCAAACACCAAACCTCACACCATAAAGTCACCCACAACGTCATGCACCTCAGTTTAGTGAGTTTCTCCAGTTTATTCACCTTCTTTGCACCTGAGACCAGAGAGAGACCAGAGAGAGGCCATGAGAGAGACCAGAGAGAGACCAGAGAGAGAGACCAGAAAGAGAGACCAGAAAGAAGCCATGAGAGAGACCAGAAAGAAAGACCAGAGAGAGACAAAAGAGAGTCCAGAGAGAGAGAGGGACCACAGAGAGACCAGAGACACCAGAGAGAGGGTCCACAGAGAGACCACAGAGAGACCAGAAACACCAGAGAGAGGGACCAGAGAGAGACCAGAGAGGGAAACCAGAGAGAGACCATGAGAGAGAGCAGAGAGAGACCAAAGAGAAAGAAAGAGAGAGACTAGGGAGAGAGCAGAAAGAGAGACCACACAGAGGGTTCAGAGAGAAAGACCAGAGAAAGAGAATCAGCCAGACCAAAGAGACCACAGAGAGAGCCCAGAGAGAGAGAGACAGAGACCACAGAGAGACCCTAGAGACCTAAGAGCAATATGCATTTTTACCCAGAGAACATGGAGGGATGAGCAGTGCTTTCATCATTTCAACACACTTTTGAATAAACTGCATTTCTTTAATAACAAACTGCTGTACTTAGAACACAGTTTAGGTTCAAGTCCCAGTGGGAATCATTGTGACGATGAATCCCTCTCCATCTGAGCGCCTCTCTCACACGCATGCGCATTGGTCCGCCTCCTCTCCTCTCTCCTCTCCTCTCCTCTCTCCTCTCATCTTCTCCAGTGCGCGTCCAGCCGCCCTGAGTCGCGTTACCATGCACCGTGCTGGCTCTCCTCCTGGGTCTCCTGCTGAGTCCTTTCCTCCTGGGTCTCCTCCTCCACAGCTCCGCGCGCAGCCTCAGCCTCAGCAGCCGGCTTCCACAGCACCATGCCCGGGGGGAAGCGCGGCTTGGTGGCTCCACAGAACACCTTCCTGGAGAACATAGTGAGGCGCTCCAGTGGTGAGTGTTGCCCGGGACCGGTGCCATAGGCACGGCTGCGCCCGCGGGGGTTTGGTGCTTGCACTGCGGAAGTTATGAAGTTGTTTTTTGGAATCAAAAGAACAAGAAAAAAGTTGTAATCGGTGAAGACGGGACTAGGTTTGGGCTGATCCCGGGAAAGCATTGGCAAACTTTTCTATTTGTACGTGTTGTGCAGATCAGATCCAGAGAGAGACCAGAAAGAGACCAGAGAGAGAGACCAGAGAGAGACCAGAGAGAGACCAGAGAGAGACCAGAGAGAGACCAGAGAGAGAGACCAGAGAGAGACCAGAGAGAGAGACCAGAGAGAGACCAGAGAGAGACCAGAGAGAGACCAGAGAGAGAGACCAGAGAGAGACTAGTGAAGGATCAGAGAGAGAGAACAGAGAGACCAGAGAGACCATAGAGAGAGTGTCCAGTAAGAGGGACAGGAGAGAGACCAGAAATAGAACTGAGAGAAACCATGAGACGAGTGAGAGACCTGAGAGAGACCAGAGAGAGACTAATGAGAGACCAGAGAGAGAGACCAGAGAGAGAGAGACTAGGGACCAGAGAGAGACCAGAGAGATAACAGATAGAGAGACAGGAGAGCGACTAGAGAGAGACAAGAAAAGGATCAGAGAGAGACCGTAGAAAGAGGGTCCAGTAAGAGAGACAGGAGAGGGACCATAGAGGGATGAGAGAGAGAGACCATGAGACTAGTGAGACCAGAGAGAGACCAGAGAGAGACCAGAAAGACAACAGAGAGAGACCAAAGAAAGACCAGAGAGAGACCAGAAAGAGAGAAGAGAGGGATAAGAGAGAGACCAGAGAGGGACCAGAGAGAGACCAGAGAGAGACCAGAAAGAGACTAGTGAGAGACCGTAGAGAGAGACCTTGTTTTGCATAAAAAGTTGTCATCAGTGAAGATGGCAGCGGCTGATCGTGGAAAAGTGCATCGCGGAGCTAAATTTACATTGACTTCTCACTGACACAAAATGCTGCGGAAGCACTAAGTTTGTGCACTGTATTCATTAAACTACATTTATTTGTCTATCGCTCAAATCACAACAGGAGTCATCTCGGAGACAGAGGACTGAGGCTGTAGATCCAGGACTGAGGTTGTAGACCCAGGACTGAGGCTGTAGATCCAGGACTGAGGCTGTAGATCCAGGACTGAGGCTGAAGACCCAGGACTGAGGGTGTACCCCCAAGACTGAGGCTGTAGATCCAGGACTGAGGCTGTAGATCCAGGACTGAGGCTGTAGACCCAGGACTGAGGCTGTAGACCCAAGACTGAGGCTGTAGATCCAGGACTGAGGCTGTAGATCCAGGACTGAGGCTGTAGACCCAGGACTGAGGCTGTAGATCCAGGACTGAGGCTGTAGACCCAGGACTGAGGCTGTAGTCCAGGACTGAGGCTGTAGATCCAGGACTGAGGCTGTAGACCCAGCACTGGGGCTGTGGATCCAGGACTGAGGCTGTTGCTGATATCCGTTGACAGCTTCCACAGCTTGTGTGACTCCGGCCCCTGTCTCTACTCTGGACCTGGGGCCAGACCTCCGGACCCCAGGCTCTAATTGGACCAGAGACTCTGCGGAGGACTGTGCTGGTGCTATTTCTAAAGTGCCAATTAAACACAGAACTAAGGTGATGTTTTATAGATACAGACAGAGCAGAGTCTAACAGGTTTGGACCATAGTGTGTGTGAGGAGAGGGCCGAGTGTGACATCACCAGGGTCACAGGGGGGAGGGGTTATTGTTTGGTGGGAGGTCGATGGTGAGGCAGGGTTTTGTCTCTCCTCTGGACCATGGTCGCTTTGGCAAAAATACTTGAGGAGGGAGTGCAGACGGGGATCAAAGAATGTGGGGTCAATGTGAGTCAGGTGCTCTTCAAGGGTCTGTGGGAACAACAACAAAAATAAACTTCAAATATGACCTAAGCCTATGCCCTGGTCTTACCATGTGTAAACTCTGGTCCATGATAATTTCCTACATGTACGTCTGGTCTTACCATGTAAAACTCTGGTCCATGATCATTTCCTACATGTACGTCTGGTCTTACCATGTGTAAACTCTGGTCCATGATCATTTCCTACATGTACGTCTGGTCTTACCATGTGTAAACTCTGGTCCATGATCATTTCCTACATGTACGTCTGGTCTTACCATGTGTAAACTCTGGTCCATGGTCATTTCCTACATGTACGTCTGGTCTTACCATGTGTAAACTCTGGTCCATGATCATTTCCTACATGTACGTCTGGTCTTACCATGTGTAAACTCTGGTCCATGATCATTTCCTACATGTACGTCTGGTCTTACCATGTGTAAACTCTGGTCCATGATCATTTCCTACATGTACGTCTGGTCTTACCATGTGTAAACTCTGGTCCATGATCATTTCCTAGATGTACGTCTGGTCTTACCATGTGTAAACTCTGGTCCATGATCATTTCCTACATGTACGTCTGGTCTTACCATGTGTAAACTCTGGTCCATGGTCATTTCCTACATGTACGTCTGGTCTTACCATGTGTAAACTCTGGTCCATGATCATTTCCTACATGTACGTCTGGTCTTACCATGTGTAAACTCTGGTCCATGATCATTTCCTACATGTACGTCTGGTCTTACCATGTGTAAACTCTGGTCCATGATCATTCCCTACATGTACGTCTGGTCTTACCATGTGTAAACTCTGGTCCATGATCATTTCCTACATGTACGTCTGGTCTTACCATGTGTAAACTCTGGTCCATGATCATTTCCTACATGTACGTCTGGTCTTACCATGTGTAAACTCTGGTCCATGATCATTCCCTACATGTACGTCTGGTCTTACCATGTGTAAACTCTGGTCCATGATCATTTCCTACATGTACGTCTGGTCTTACCATGTGTAAACTCTGGTCCATGATCATTTCCAACATGTACGTCTGGGTCTTACCATGTGTAAACTCTGGTCCATGATCATCTCCTACATGTACGTCTGGTCTTACCATGTGTAAATGATATTGGAATGTAACTTAAGTTATCATTTTGGTAAATCATATGTGGCTATATGCTGAAGGCTCTGTATTGGAATTCACTTTAGCTTCAGGAAGACACCGGGAGCTCATATGCTATAAGTGTCTTTTGTTGTGTTGGTTTCTTCCTTTCCCATCTGCATACGAAGGTGTGTCTTGTTCTACCAAAAGGGGCTTGCCATCTGTGAATCTTCAGACTTGTCCTGAGAGAGGCTAGGGTCTGTGCCTTGCCTCTGTCAAGACATTCTCCTTGTACAATGTAACAAGTAAAAGATTAACTTTGTCTCTTTCACTCTTGCCTGGGGGCTGGGAGAATTCTGCATTCTCGCCACCCTCAATGCATGAGTTGATTAACTTGAATACCCTACTAATCTACACACATTTATTAATATGATAATACACATAACATTTCTTAACAGTAAACTCTGGTCCATGATCATTTCCTACTTGTACGTCTGGTCTTACCATGTGTAAACTCTGGTCCGTGATCATTTCCTACATGTACGTCTGGGTCTGATCCTAGTGGCTGCAGTTTCCTCGGTTAAATCCGACCAATCAGAGAGCGGGGGAGGCGGGTGTTGTAGGTCGTTATCGGTGACGTCAAGAGTTTGTGCTGAATTTTCTGGTTGTAGTTTGTCGGAAAATGTGATAGTAAAATAATCTGTTCTGGTTCAATCCAAATATCAATAAACTGAAGCCGGAGCAAGTGGAATGTTTAGTGACTGTCATTGAAGCAAAGATGTTGTGGCACTACTCCCCACAGGTAGCCTGTTGTTAGTGGCAAAGGAGATGCTAATGCTAGGCTAAATGCTAAAGCGAGGCTGAATGCTAAATGCCTCACTCACATAGGCTCATTACATACGTCACAGTAAACTCAGATCCAATGGTTTCAATCTGCAAAAGGAGTTAACCCCTCCCACCTGTTAACGGAGTCAATGGAGCAAATCCAGACCTTAGTGAAGAATGAAATGAGTACAATGGTGTGGTAAGACCAGGCTAGCCTAATCCCGGTCCTTTATCATTGTGGGGACATTGCAACGTGTTTCAACCCCTCAATTGGTACTGTACAGTCTTGGGGGAGTTACTACGGTTACAGAGCTCGAGGAGTCTACTTATACAAGTAAATAGGAGCGAGAGAGAGTTGGAGCAAAACTTCACCATGAGCACTTCCCTATTGGGACATTATCAAAAGTCCCTGGTATGACTTGTGTGTAGTTGTTGAACCTCGTCACCTGATGCCTGGTCTGTTCCACACGTCATAGAGTCACAACAAGCAGACATCATAGAGTCACAACCAGCAGTAATCATAGAGTCACAACAAGCAGACATCATAGAGTCACAACAAGCAGACATCATAGAGTCCCAACAAGCAGACATCATAGAGTCACAACAAGCAGACATCATAGAGTCACAACAAGCAGACATCAGTCACAACAAGCAGACATCAGAGTCACAACAAGCAGACATCATAGAGTCACGACTAGCAGACGTCATAGAGTCACAACAAGCAGACATCATAGAGTCACAACAAGCAGACGTCAGAGAGTCACAACAAGCAGATGTCATAGAGTCACAACAAGCAGACGTCATAGAATCACAACAAGCAGACATCATAGAGTCACAACAAGCAGACGTCATAGAGTCACAACAAGCAGACGTCATAGAGTCACAACCAGCAGACGTCATAGAGTCACAACAAGCAGACATCATAGAGTCACAACAAGCAGACGTCATAGAGTCACAACAAGCAGACATCATAGAGTCACAACAAGCAGACGTCATAGAGTCACAACAAACAGACATCAGAGTCACAACAAGCAGACATCATAGAGTCACAACAATCAGACATCAGAGTCACAACAAGCAGACGTCATAGAGTCACGACAAGCAGACGTCATAGAGTCACAACAATCAGACATCAGAGTCACAACAAGCAGACATCATAGAGTCACGACAAGCAGACGTCATAGAGTCACAACAAACAGACATCAGAGTCACAACAAGCAGACGTCATAGAGTCACGACAAGCAGACGTCATAGAGTCACAACAATCAGACATCAGAGTCACAACAAGCAGACATCATAGAGTCACGACAAGCAGACGTCATAGAGTCACAACAAGCAGACATCAGAGTCA